AAACCATTTCAGGTGACTACCTCTTGAAGCTCATGGAGAGAATGCCAAGAGTGTGCAAAGCAGTAATCAGAGCAAAGGGTGGCTATTTTGAAGAAACTAGAATATAAAACATGTTTTCAGTTATTTCACCTTTTTTTGTTAAGTACATAACTCCACATGTGTTCATTCATAGTTTTGATGCCTTCAGTGAGAATCTACAATGTAAATAGTCATGAAAATAAAGAAAACACATTGAATGAGAAGGTGTGTCCAAACTTTTGGCCTGTACTGTATACATATATGTTATTGTTCAGACTTAGATATTTGACCCTACTTGTATGTGCCCCTGTATCAAAAGGACTGGCCCTAGCTTGGCCGCCCCATTGAAGGCAGGAAAGAGCTGTGGTTCCAGATGCAATCTTTGTTGTGTCCTTTGTTCCAAAGGTGAAACTCGGAGGAAGCTGGTCGCTCGAGGTCTTTGCAGAGTGAGATGCTGTGTGCTAACTCAACTTGGTTCTCCTTGTTGCTGGAAAGCTAGTTGCAAACCTTGTGCTTGCAAATCTAACTTCTCTGGTTCAGGTTTGCCTCTGCCTTTAGCATGGGCAAATCGTGGTCCAGGAAAAAGAGAGGCTGTGAGTAATTGCCCTCCCTTTAGTGGTTTGGGGCCATGGCCTCTGAGATGGTGTGAGCTGCTTGGCATGAAACAAGCTTAATATTATAAAAAAGTATAAATGGCAGAAACAACAACTTCCCACTTTGTAGATCCTGCACAGGTCCCAATGCCTACATGAATGGATAGAACTCAGTCCACAGGCTGAGAAGCCTAAGCTGGAATGACTCCTAAATTTTAATTAGCAGTGGGGAACATCCTGTAGAAACGTCCTGTAGAAAATATCCTGTTGATTAAAGTCTATTATTTTTCTCTTTTTGAGGTAAAAAAACAGAGGCGGATTTTTGCTCACAGTCCAGGTTGGGGGCACCTTAACACTTCATCTGCACCCACTACCCACACACTGGGGACACAGACCTGACTGACAATTGGTAAAGTATCCCTTATGGTTTTGGCCATTACATAAGGTTACAACATCAGCTCCACAATATTTACTGTGGCTTCCTAAATCAGTCATTTATTAATTTCCCTGTGCATGTGTTTCAAAGTCAGGATTAAGAGCTTACCTGTACATGTCGTTTCTGTGTTGGGCTCAGGGCATGGCTGGACAGGGTAGAAAACATCCCTCTCCCTCTGGATCTAAGAGAGAAAAGGAAGTAAATGAGGAAGATGAAGAATCATTTCTCTGTGGAACAGAACTGGTACATCAAAATGAAGGTCATTTAATTGTTTGGAGTATGTTTTCAATGTATTCTTTGTCGCACCAGTTTTCTGCTGTGGTACCAAACAACCATCTGCTGATTGTATGCAGCATTTCTCTGTGTATGAGCGTTTCCAGCATCACATCAATATTAAAAAATGATGTCTTCACACCCACTGGCTTCACATGTGAATGTTGAAAACACACCCCATCTCACACAAGCAGTGCCCCCTGTGTCCGTCTCACATGTTTGAGCTATACTAGAGGAACCGCCACACTCTCACACCAAAACATGCTCGCTGATGCACACTCACAGGTCACAAGCAAATGACTGTTCCACCCCTGCAACCATACACAGCCACTTTAGTGTAATTTCAGAAAAAATGTAGGGGGGCTTTTCTGTGAGACTTTTGTATTATACACACATAAATGATCCATATCTGAAACAAATCTGCAGCAGCTGATATGAATTGCTTCACATTTTTTTTCTTTATGAGGTCATTTAGAAAGAGTTTAAATACAACAAACTACACCCATTTCATGTTTGTATAATGTAAATATCAGGGGTTCTAAAATTGATCCTTGTTGGACACCTTTATCAACTATCTGTGGACTTGTCTTGGACAGAACTACAAAGAGTACAGTTCAGTGCTGCTTTTTATCAAGTAAGTCAACAAATCCTCTTAGAAGCATGACAACAACAAAAAATACTGACAGAAACCTTCGGCTATAATTTACACTTTCTAATGTCCACTGCCACCTGCTATTCACATGGTAAAAGAGGGCTCATGACCACTAGACTCACAAGTCAGTGTTTAGATGCTTTACTTAACTAAAGACTGATGACTTTCTCCCTGATCTTGTGTTTAGATGGGCGGATACAATTTCAGAGTTTAAAAAAACTCCCTACGTTGCAGAACCAATAGTAAATCTGCAGGGCGGTCCTTCGGTGGCTCGCTGAACTCTTGTGCTTGTAAACATAGTCCCACTAGAAACACGTGTAGCGGTACAAAATGGCTCAGCCGTGCTCGCAGAAAA